TTATAGAAAATATAGTGAGTGGTGGTAATAAGTGAGCTGAAGCAAGGGGATTTATTGGAAAAATATCAGAGTAAAGCCAGTGACTACCCCCAACACACACTGGCTTGGGCGCGCATGCACACACAGGCAGAGAGAGAGGGAGAGAGACAGAGAGAGAGGAAGAGGGAGGGAGAGGGGGACAGAGAGGGGGAAAAGGAAGAGGGAGAGGGAGAGAGAGAGCAGACATGAGAGAGGAAGTGATTGCATCATTGAGTCAAGGAACTTGGATGCTTTGTAAAATACCTTCCTCTGCTGGGCAATTTCACTTTCCCTCTTACAGCTCCCAAGAAAATGCTTGGGTGCACACAGGATGGCTTCCTGAGCAAAGTTCATGTGTGGTGTAATTTAAGGGCTCTGATTATGCTTTGTGATACTCTGAGTTAAATGATAGGAAAGTCCCATATGAGAGGAAGGGCAGAAGGCAAGTGGGAATGCTTTCCTCCCCCAGTTCAGATAAAACAATGACAACAACACAGGAAATGTTCTAACTGATGCTCAGTCTCAGGCCCAAACAGCTAACATTAGGAAGGTGGGAAGAATGCTGGCATATGAAGAATACTGAACAAACAAAGAATACTGATTTGTTACTTTACATGTCATATCCTACTGCCTCAACATATGTGAGTGCACATACACACATATAGGTGATTGTCATCTCATTCTTCTGGGTATCACAGAGAGTTAACTACCAGCCACATAAAAGCCTATTGTATTTGTGTTGCTAAGTGCCCTACTTTGAATTTCTCAGTGGGTCTGTTCATTTCCCTGTGAGATGATTTCATTATATCCAAAAGCATATTGTGAATGATGAGGACGTGTTGAGGAATTCATCCTATTAGTTACCTAGCTTCTGGTAATATACACCTGATCCTAAAATTGCCCCACTTGATTAAATCCTGATGCTGCCCAGTGAAACACTAGCAATGGGGACCTAGAACTGAGTAAAGTCCCATGATTGCATGGGCCATACCTTCCTTCACTCCCTGTGCTACATTAAAATTTTTGGCTTATTAGGTAAATAGGAGAAGTCAATGGGAGAGAGTGATCATTTTAATATTTGACAGTTCTTTTGTATTTGACTTGGAGATTGACTTATACTATAACAAGGAGCCAGTAAGCACCCAATAGACATTGAAGGTGTGATGAATTGGACAGATACAGCATGTCAGAATAAATCAATACACAAAAATGTGCCAATATTAGTTAAATCTGATTCTGGGGTTATGCATGGAGAAGTTTAGATTCCATTGCTTACTCTGCTGATTAAAACTGTAGGCGCTTCAGAAAAATCGAGTTTACTAAGAAAATCTGCTCACCCCACATGTATTTTTCTGTGCTATTTGGTTTTCTTTTGGCCAGGCTTCTCTTACCCCTTGGCCTTGACATGGTTATTCCTAATCATTAACTTCATTAACTTCCTGTAGGTAGCTGTTCTCAATGAATCCCCGCGGAAGCCCAGCTCCCCTGTTCTCCCAGAAGGCTGTGCTCTGCAGTCAAGATCCATAGAGCTTTTGTCTTAAAAAGAGAAAAACAATAGGATATACTTGTTATTTTATGTGTGTATGTATTTTTCCTGTATGTATGTGCACCAAATATGTGCCCAATGTCCACTGAGGTTAGAATAGGGCACCAGACTGCATAGAATCAGAGATATAGATGATTGTGAACACTATGTTGGTGCTGGAAATTAAACCCAGGTCCTCTACAAGACAATAAGTGCTCTTAACCACTGAGATATCTTTCTAACCCTGTCATTTGTTCTTTTTTTTGTAAAATCTAGATATATGTTTGATTCTTAAACAGTATTCAGTTAAAAAAAGAGATACTAGGCAGCAAGGTAGTGAAGGAAATCAGACTATGGAGTGGGTAGTCAGGATGAGAAGAATAAACAATGATGAAGAGGCTCTAAGTTGCAAGCCATGGAAGCATCTGGGTTTCATGGTAGATTCCCAAGGGAATTTTATTAAATGAGTCCACACCATATTATGAGCATGTCCATGAAGCAGGCTCTTTGCTAGGCACCAAGGTCATTGGAGAGAGCAGTGGGGCCATGTCTTTGCCTTAACAGAGCTTGAATTCAAGTAGGGGAGACAGACAATGGGTAGTATATAATATAGGCACTAAATACACAAACTTATATAGCACATTATGTGCTATATAAGCACATTATGTGCTATATAAGCACATTATGTGCTATATAGTAGGAAAACATATGAATTATACAGTATATGACACTTATAAATATTTAATATGCAAAGGCATATTAAGTGACCAGTTCTAAGCATGTAAGATATGCTTCTTGGTGTGTGCAAGAAGGTTCAGACATCTTTACTTCCAAGAAGCTACATGTGATTTTCCACAATGGGAACTGCTAAGGGAATTGCTAGAAGTGTAGTATTTATAATTCACATGTTCACCCATCCACATGGAATGTAGCAGGTGTAATATGTGTAGCCATAAAGGTGTTTCTCTCCCAGTCACACAAGCATGGATCCCCAAGTGGGGAGGAAACATTTTGAACAGCCCCTAAAATACAGACTTCCTTTATCCACAGCTGGGCAGACACCAGCATCTCACTTAGAAGGATGGAAATAGCTTGAGAACTCAATGCCAGTACAGCCATTCCATGGCCTCTATGGGGGTTTATTTCAGGAACCTCCTATACTACATCTGAGATGGTTAAGTCTTGGCTACAAAATACTGTCATGCTTCCATGTGAAGCTTTACAACCCTTTGGTATGTATTCAAGTCAACTCTAGATTGCTTATATCTTATATGATGTAAATACTGCATAAACGATTGTTATTTTATTATTTAGTAGGGGGGAAGAAAAAAAAAGGCCTGGTGTGTTCAGTGTGGATGTAACTGCTTTTCAGTTTTTTGTTTTTATTTTTGGATATTGGTTGAAGATGCAGGTGTATAATCCACAGACACAGGTACTGTCTGGATACTCTTACAAACTTTTGATTGAAAATGATTTAGTTTTTGATTTTTCAAAGATCTTGAATAACTTGTTATTAAAAACTAATTGGTGATTTTGGTGGGCCAAGAAGTTAGTTTTGTGACATGGGGAAACTCGTAAAGTGGCTCTCACTACGTGGCTACACTGCGATGGCAGGATAGTCAGGAACACGCCATTAACTCTGCTTTGATAGAGGTGAGTTATTTGATGGCGTTTAGAAGAAGCAGTTTCTCAGGGCTTTGAGTGGAAGCAAACAAGTAAGTGAACAAACCCATCAACAAGTGTGCCATTACAATGAAGAATGGCTGAACATTGCAGGACAGACGCCCAGCCACAAACCACCAAGCTTTATCCTAGGAGGTAGTAGTTGTTGATGGATAAATTAACAAAATTGAAGCACATTAATTTTTCATCTTTATTGAGACCACATAAAGAAAAACAAAGTTCCTGTTCCTGTACTTACATCGATGGAACAGAGCTTGATGGGAGGGGTGCTACTTTAGAAACAGAAATCCAACACCCAGTCTGGGTCCACATAAGAACTTCCTTTAGCCTTGGGAATGGAGGTGCAATATGGGTTGCTTTAAATTCTGAAGCAAGTGCACCGCAGCGTGTTACTCCATCCTTGGCATCCTTTCTCCAGAAGTCAGAACATCAGTAGTGGGATTTTTAACCTGCAATGCAGTGTTGGCGGCAACTTGAATTCTCCTTGGACCCACCAAGTGCAAACTACTAGCAGTCGACATGTGTGTGGAAAGTATGAGACTAGATTTAGAAAACTGACATTGGGTCCCTTTCTGCATCCTCAAGGTGGACTCTACAGTGAATATTGGCAACTGAGTAAGCAAGGAATGGGAGGGGAGAGGTCTGGAGTTATGGCTTTGAGGTTATTGGTGTATATTGAACACAGTTTCTGGATAAAGCATTTTTTTCTTCCTTTCATGTCACTCAAATTGACATAAAATAATAGATCACTAAACAGGTCTCTATCTTCTTCCTCCCATCCTTTTTTAGATTCCTTCCTTCCTTCCTCATTCCTTTTTTTCTATGATGTATGTATATGCATGTGTGTGTATGTGTATACACTGGTTGATACACGTGTTTGTGTGCACACATGAATACAGAGGCCATAGGTCAATGTTGGTTGTCTTCTTTAATTGTTCTCTAGTTTTTGAAACAGGGTATCTCACTGAGCTTGAAGCTCAACAATTCTGCTGGTTGGCCAGCAAGCTCCAAGGATCCTCCTGCCTCCACATTCCCAGTACTGGGATTGTAAGCACATGCTGCCCAGCTTTTACATGGGTGCTAAGATCCAAATGTTGCTCTTCATGCTTGTTCAGCACCCACTCCTTTTATGGACAGAGCCATATCCCCAACACCTCTCTTTCCCCCTTCCTTCCTTATTTCCTTCCTTATTTCCTTCCTTCCTTCCTTCCTTCTTTCCTTCCTTCCTTCCTTCCTTCCTTCTTTTTTCTCCTTCCCTTCATCTCCCACTCTATTTTCTTCCCCCTCCTTTTCTTTTTTCCCTTTCTCTTTCTACATGGAACTTTGACTAGTTTTTCATAATCAAAACATAATTAAGTTTGTACACAACATGATATCTTTCATAAACTACAAGTCTGTAAACAGAATCGTTGGAGTCCATGGTATATAATTGCTCTCCAATTATGCCCATATTTTGGGTATATATGTAACATAGGCTAGCATGATTTCTTTTTCCTTTTTAATTATTACTGCTCTAAAGCCTCCATTTGATAATTTTCTCATTAACTTTTCAGCAACAGAAAGTCAGCATGAACTTATTTCTTGAATTACTTTTTCTGACCTTATACAAAATGATAATTACAAAAAAAGAGAGAAGCCTAGAAAACTTGTAAAAATTTAAGCTTATAAAGTAGCTCAAACGACCCTTTCATGCTGGTGTTGATTTCAAAATTAACATTTTGGTTCATGTGCTTCTAAAATAATCACTGACCCTTACCTGGTGGACTTTTCACAGGAAATGAATACAGCAGAAATTACTTTGACCCACCGACGGAGGGGGAAATAAACTCAAGGCAGTGCCGGATGGAGGTCAGCAGACAGGGTGAGCTAGAATTAAGTATGTAATTTTTGTGTCAGAATATTCTCTTCCATTCATGAAAATGAGGTGGCAAAGATCACACGTGCGGTTCCAGTTTCGTTTCACGGCTTACGATTTAAATGGTAAGTTTCAGCCGCACACAATGGGATGGGCTGAAAAAGAGGAGGTGAATTCTCAAGGACGGCTAGCCGGTGGAATGAAAGATGCAGGATCTTCTCTACTCTTGGAACTTAAAGGGGGGTGGGTCTTCAGTCAATCACAGACACAGGCACCACCTGTGCCACCACAGTCTGTCCTGTTCGGGTCCTTGAATCCAAAGCAGGGAATGACCACTGAGCTTGCAATTATGAAAACATAGGATATGAAAACAAATGGTTCTTCTGTCGTGGTTCTCAAGATTAATTTCTTAACAGTAAACAATGGAGTTTTATTTCATTTTTATTTTATTTCACCCTCCTCCTCCTTCTTCTCAATTTTGCTTATCTCCTTTTATCCCCAAATAGTTTGAAAAATGGCCTATATTTTGTCTTTCTTCTTACCATCCTTTTGGTTCTTCCCCTTAGAACTCCGTCTCTTAGCATAGTCCCATTCCCTCTCTCTCTCTCTCTGTCTCTCTCTCCCTCTCTCTCTCGTATTATTGTATCTTTTTTTGTTGTTACTTGACATAATCTAGAGTCACTTGGAGAAGGAACACCAGTTTTTGCCTCCTATCAGGTTGGCTTGTGGGTATGTCTATGGAGACATTTCTAGATTAATGACAGCTGTGGGAGCGTCCAGTTTGTTATGGCCAGTGCCACTCCTGGACAAGGAGGACTTGGGGTAAGGAAGCAAGCTGGACAAGCCCTGTGGAATAAGCCAGTAGGCATTGTTCCTCCATGGCCTGCTCTTGGTTTCTGTTCCAGGTTCCTAGTTTGAGTTCCTGTTCTGATTTTCTTCAAAAATGGATGATGGTGTGGATTTGTTTTGGTCAGTGGATTATCAGAGCAACAGAAAACAAGTCATCACCACCCCCCACCGCAGCACAGATATGGATATATAAATAAAAATGTAAAATTTCCCCCTAGGTTCTTACCACTGGGAAGATGTTTACAAACCACTTCACAGTTTACTCAGGCTACTGTGGGACAATGACAGTCACAGCCATTTCTTAGACTCAGGCTCAATCCAGAAGAGACGGCTTACTACTGTGCTTCAGATATCAAGTGTGTGTGTCTTATGAAAAGCCTGGCCTAAATTCTTACATATCTCAAGACTCAAGTACAATGTAAAGGTTATTTGACAAAATGGTTTTCAAAGCAAGATTTATCTTTCATGATGTGAAAGTCAATGACTGACTCCATCAAAATAAACAGTTTTAGGATAAGGGCTGAAAATCAGAGAATTTTTACCTGTCCATCAATAGAATGATGAGCTAGAAGAAAGTGGGACAATTCATCTGATTGAAAATGTCACAATGAAGCCACCTACATTTAAAAAAACAATAAAACATAGGCTGAACTTGAAGTCATAAAATCTCAACCTATTTATTTCCCCAAATACATCTGAGAGGTAAGAGTGCACCCCAGCGACTTCTGGGGGACAAGCTAACTGAATCATCAGTTGAAGCTTGTCTTCCAAACCTTAGAGATCACAGTACATACTATGGTAGTGTGAGGACCAGCTGGCTAGGAACTATGTTTCTATATGCTACATTAGATGAATAGAGTATAGGCAGGTAAATTCTGAAAAAGTCGATGTTGGCGGAGTGTCCCTTGTCTTAGAGTGCTTGGGACCAAATGTGTTCCAGACTTTGGCTCTCTTTTCAGATTTTGGAATGTTTGCGTATATGGTATGGAATATGCTGGGTGTGAAACCCAAGTTTGAGCCATTATTTGTTCTGTAAATATCTCTCAGCATCTGGAAGGTAATTTATACATTGACTTCAATAGTTTTGCGTATGAGTTTCATGCCAAAGAGTTCTTCTGTACTTGTGTTATTGTGTGACACCTGATAATTCTGGTTTAGAATGTTCAGGAATTCGAATGTTCAGGTGAGGGATGCTCATGCCTGCTGCACGAGTTACTTTGTTCATTACTGTGACAAATACTTCTCAGAAGCAACCAAGGAAGGATTTGTTTTGCACAGTTTGACGCTCCAGTCCATTCTGGTGAGGAAGCCACAGCATTGCACGAGGCAGCTGCTCCTGTCGCACCTGCAGCTGCAGTTAGAATCTTAAGAAGATGAATGCTGTTGCCCATATTCCTTTCTCCAATCATTCAGTCTTAGACTCTAAGTCAGTGGAACAGTGCTGCCCACAGTTTGGGTCTTCCTGCCTAAGTTAGACAAACCGAGAAAACTCTGTCATAGACAATCAATGCCCAGAAGTTTGACTCCTGGGTGATTTTAGAATTCAGTAGTACAAATGTGATAGTTACCCATCACTTTGCTATACAGTTGTTCCCATTTCTAGCATCTTGGGTCACTTTATCTTTTCTTAACCAGTTAACCTTGCCCCACATGGGAGACGGACCTGGGGTCCATATTGTCATGAACATGACAACCCTAAACCTAAATTCTGTAGCCCATATGGCATCAAGCAGAAATCCATTCCTGGAGGCTGTGTGAAAAACATCTCTGTGTCTTATGTATTTGGAGCATCTTTAGTAGTTACTGTCTGAACCTAAAAGTCATACGATCTGTATTTGCTCTGAGTCAATGAGCACTATGCAAGAATGAGTTGACTACATATGTATGAATGATACATTGTGTGTGTGTGTGTGTGTGTGTGTGTGTGTGTGTGTGTGTGTGTGTGTGTGTGTGTGTGCCTGTTTGTGTGTATATATGGTGTGTGTGGGGGAGGGGGTATATGGCAGTATACTCAATTGCAGACACTCACAACTCTACAATGTAAGTTGAGAGACTGAAAACACAGATGAGTATTGTTATGACATTCAGGTAGGAACTGTTGTCACACTCAAGTTCCACCTTTGCAGAGCTGCAGGCTGGAAACAGAAGGATAATTTTTACATTGAGTATTATAAAGAATACTTCTATGAGAAAATTCAGACTGTTCTTTTCAGACTTTCAACCAATTGGCTGATGTCCACTTATATTATGATGAGTCATTTGGTTTCCTTAGAGTTTAAATGTTAAGCTTTCATCAAAGTGGACTGTTAGGTATCCAAGAAAAAAGACAGCTTCACAGAAACTAAGTGGACTAGGGAAGTGTGTATCATAGCCAAGTTGGCACATAAAATTAACCATCAATGTACATGCATTATACATTGCATGTACAATGATAGGATTAAAATCTACAAATTTGACGAGCTTAATGTCAAACTTGGGCTCCTATTCTCACTTCCTTGTTTTTTTTTTATTTGTTGTCATTATTTAGGTTATTAGATGCATATTGGTTGCAATAATTATTTATTTCATGGCTTTCTTTTCCACTAGCCTTAGATAGTCTTAGGATTGACATAGCACTTGCCTCACGGCTGATGCTCCATATCTTATTTACTGACCTGAAGTAAATCTTTATGAAGACAAAGATGAGTGAGCTCTTTCCTCTTAGCAACCCCCACTGCATGTCAGAGACTTCCTAAGCACTTTGCACAAGCCAAACAACTAAAAAGAAGGCATCCTTTGCTGAGTGTCTCCTGCAAACCTAGCAGGGAGCTTCATTACCATGTAAACCCTCACAAGGATCCTCCTGCAAGGTCAAGGGCACTGAGTGGCTGAATTGCATGTAAGAAAAGGCTCCCCAGATGTGCAGAACTACTAAGAGGCAGTGCTGGGATTTGATGCAGACTTTGCTGTTACCAAGTCTGTGCCATGCTGTGGTGTCTTTGGAAGATGGAGCTTCTATCGTAATCTCAATGGGGCACTAAGCACACTGGCATAGAATTCCTCATCTCTGCATCGGATACAGCTCACTGTTAACTTCCAAATAAGATTCTTTTATGAGCTATATATAAGCTTTATGTGTTTTGTTACTGTCCCACTAAGAGTTATAAAGCATCAGGCAGTACTGGTCTGAAGGCATGCTTCCCTAACATGCAATCTACAAAGTAGACTGTCTCCCTCTGCCTTGAATGTGGCCTGTGCTGGCTCATGGCAAGCAAAGAAAATTTGTAGGTCACCTGATACTTGAATATGCCATCTGGTGTGTACAAGGAGCAAGCACTGGTAACTTTGTGAGTCTTTTATGCCATTCTCTCAAACATCCCAGATGCTCTAGCAGTCTTAGGATTTCCAATTTACTGTCATAGTCCCTACTGGATTATTTTTCCAACACTGGTCTGCGAAGTGTCTCCAGTGTAGACAGATATGAGTGTGTATGTCTGGGGCAGAGTGGAAAATGAGGAACCCAGGAGGATCTTCTAGAATAAGCTACCTCAGAATTGTCCCATTCATTGGCAGGGGACTGACAGGTGACAGAGTCAGAAGGGCCACATGAAAAACAATGTAATTAAAAGCTTCACATCATTTTTCCTTACGAGAACTCCAATATTGATGCATTGATTATATGTTTGTTTTCTTAGTTCTGTGACTGGGGGAGAGAGAGCCATCTAGATGACATTTTAATTTTCTGTTAAGATTTTTAATGTCCCAAATCTATTCAAACATCTAAATATCCAATGAGTCTGAGTTTGGTTTTCTTTGTAAAGGCTATAGATATGCAATGTATCATTTTCACATTGGCCACACTGGTTACTCCAGTCCAAACTTAGAGGTGAACATCTTATGAAACATAGCAATTTACATTCCTGGACACAACATTTAGTTCAATTGAAACAATGTGATAAGGACTGTAGTGCTCACATATGTGGCCCTGGAATGTGTTTGGCATGTCATTTAGGAATAATTACTTTTAGTGCTATCATGGAACACCCCCCTCTGGGTGCTAGATGGCTGTTGCCCCTATGAACCCTCAGCAGTTGTAATTTCCTGAAGAAGTACCATACAAGACTGAGCCCTTTCATTTTCCATCAATGAGCAGGGAATGGCCACACCCCTTCCGAAGGATTATAGACAGTGGTTGCTCGGGGAGAGATTTATCTTTCTTAAGTCATGCATCTACCTGTAAGTCTCCCATGCTCTGGTAAGTAACCCTAACCCATTCACCTATAAATAACTTCAGTTAAAACAATTGCTTCACCAAACTAGGCTTGAGTTGAGTGGTTACCTTGGTCTGTCTTTGGTGTGCCATTTGGGATGAATATGTTTGTTGGTTGGTTGCTTCCCCCCCAGGAAAAGTTCATAGGACAATTTCTTATTTAAATGTAGCAAGTTTTTTTTTAAGTTGATAAATTAATTAAAGTACTAGGGCACTACATCTAAAGTTTTACACTTGCCTAGCTTTATATTTATGAAAGAACTAGGAGTCCCTTGGGTTCCTTTATTTATGACATGATGAATCCTTCCTTTTCATACACTATTAGATATGCATATATGTAATATATATACACCTATGCCATTACAAATATAAACATATAACTATTGTAATGTAATAACTTATGTAAAAGAGTTCATGGCTACTGAAGTTTGTCATGTCTTATGCTACATAATGAAAATGTGACCTATATACTAATGGTAGCTAGCATGAATAGTAGGTAGAAATGAATGAATATTAAATGTTGTATTGTAGGCTTTGGAAAGCTTTAAAAGTTTGGTTTGAAATGATTGTTAAGTAACAATCATCATAACCCATCAATGAGAGATTCTTTTTGTTGGAGAAGTAGTATCACATGCATGTTTGAGATAAGCACTTAAATATCACTGTTCTAGTTAAACACATTTTGCAAAAGATTGTTTCTCAGAATATGACAGTGTAGTGAGTACAGTTCACATTTATGACCCATGACATAATAAATGGCCAGGATGACTAATATTTTTAGAATTCATTTGCATAGCTATAAATTAGCTAATGAGAAAGTTACCACGCAATATGTTCTTCTAACACCCCTGTGGTGATAGAATTCTCTCTAATTGATTAATGAAATAGTTTGATGACAGTGGACAAGAAGCTATTCAAGGTAAGAGGCCAATTATTCAGTCTGTAATTTTAATATCAGCTGTAAATTGATTGATATGGTTTCTTGTCAGTACTTACCTTATTTTTTCTAAATACAACAGTTCATTGGTGAGCTATATATGTGATTTAGATGGCTAGAAGTACTGAAATGTAGCTAAAAGTTGGGGGAAATAATTATGGTCTCCTAATTGCAGGCAACCTGTAATCCCAAAAGGCAAAATGACATCAGAATTCCTATTGCAGAATCATACAATAGTCTGTGTCATACTGGATTCACTAAGTTTTAAGGCGATGCACCCCTTAAAACAAAACAAAACCTCCATCTTAGGATGTAAACAAATGCAGAGGAGTGACAGAGGTCAAGTATCTTTCTTAATCTTAGCATGAAATTTGTACTGGCAAGTGGTAGATTCTCCTGGTAAGTTATACATGTTACACTGAGAAATTTAGAGACATTTCTTTTACAAAATCAATTATAAATTCTTAGTTTACTTACTTTCATGCCTATAAGTCCTGCTCAGTTGGAAGCTCTGCCTTGGGCTCCATTCTCCACACCCTACCCTCTGCAAAAAAACCCTGAAAACTCAGTTCTGTGGTTGTGGCCCAAGACCATGCCCAAAATCTTACCACAGCATGAATCCACCTTAGGGTATGTCATCATCATGCACCCCTACAGGGTATTTAAACCACCCCCTTTAGAAAAGCCATGTGATTTCTCTCCTGTTCCCTTTCCTGAGAGTCACCTGGGAGTGCTTTGCTCAGATTAAACCTGGTCCTTTACTTTTTAATTTGGCTCAATTTGTCTTACTGCATCAGTGGAGAATCCTACTGCCAGGGCTACAAAAAAATTAAGAAAAACCCTTGACATAGTCCCCCATTTATAAAATAGTACACTCCCCAATTTTTACTCCATTCTGGACACACCCACCTTATTTTTTCCCTATGAATTTATGTAGACAACCTTTGTTTCCCTTTGTTTTTATAAAATCAGTGACACATGACATGTTATATATTCATCTGAGTAATCCTAAATTAAAATGGAGCATTAGACTGTCTAGAAAATCCAATAATATATGCATATATATTCCATATATTTGCATATATGGTGATGGTAGCACTTTAATGCTAGCATTTGGGTATCATGCATATTTACATACACTTATGTATGTATATACACATATTTATGGAGAAAGAGTTTAAGAAATTTGATCCAGATGTGCTGATATATGCCTATAATTCCAACATTCAAAAGGCTGACTAGAGAAGAGCAAGCATGAGAGTTTGAAACCAGCCGGGGTTACATTGGGAAACTTTCTGAAAATCTCTAAATAACAGGAATAACAAATCTGACTCTGAAAACTGCAACAACAAAACAACAAAACTGGCTCACAGTTCAGTGGGGGCTGGTAAGTTCAACATCCATCGAAATGAGTGGGCAGATTGGAGAATCCAGTAAGAGATAAGTTTCAATTTGTTTGAAACTCAAATTGCACAGGGCAGAAAATCAGGTAGGAACAGATGTCACAGTCTGAGAGCACAGTTTATAAGGTGGGATTGACACTATAACAGGTTTTCTGTACTGTTGACTGGAAGCCAATGTCTTTCTTCTTCAGAAAACACCAGTCTTTGAAGGCCTTTAACTGATAGGGCGAGGCTCACCTATATTATGAGGAGCAACCAGCAATGTTTACAATCTATTGATCTAAATGTCAGTTACACTTAAAGATCTTCACAGTGGCCTTCAAGCTGGTGTTTGGCCAAACAATGGGGTGTCATAGCCTCATCAAGTGGACCCACCAAATGAGGCTGGCACAGCAGTAGCACTTAAGTCAGGATCCCAAGTATCCCATTCCATTGTTGATTCAGCAGCTGCATGTTGAATATAGTGAGTGGTTGGTGCCTCCTCTTTCTGACAGATCTTTTAGCCTAGGTCCCTTGAGTCCTCTCAAGACAGTAATGAAGGGATCTTCTTAAACCTTTTGTGGGCTTAGAGATGTCTCATGGCATTCATAGCATGGCCAGGCACTTCATCAGTCATTTTACACATGACAATACAACTGATCCTAGGATATTTAAAGCCTTCTACAAGGTACCACTGCAGCATTAAGGACAGCAGACAGCCAGCAGTCCTCTGAAGGCTTGACTCAGCACTCCCACTATTCCATACCTCTTTTCCCTATGTCAAAGAATATCGATCCCTTTTGTAGGTCATTGCTAAAAAGCTAGCAGTGAAGGCATTCGAAAGTTTTACACTTGCCAGTATTTTTCTAAGATTTGAAGATGGGAGAATATTTTCTGATTACTGCATGTATCAAGCTAGTTGGGCAGAGTGTTTTCTAGAGGACCCTGTTTTCAGATGGCCCAGAACTAAAGTGTGAGTACCGTTTACATAAATGCTGTCATTTCTGTGCCAACAATGCTGGCCAAATAACGTGCCTCTGTGTGTTCAGAACTCAGGGACTGTCTCAGAGACCTGGACTCGGGGAAGTGAGCCAAGGTCACCTTGCCTCTCCAACCTGTAGTCATATCCCAAGCTACATCAGCACCATAACCATCACAAAGTAGATGTTCAACACAGCTTGTAACCTTAACACATGGACAGGAACAATATGAATGTTTCAGATTATGCTTGGTAAGTGGGAAGAAGCTAAAGAGTGCCTTGCCACTTCTAGTATCACAGGAGGAATGAAGGAAGTTCTGGTTTAATGTTTAAACTGTGAGACTTCTGGTTTCCCAGTATATTATGTGGAAAATATAGTTACTGAATCATGGGTGATAAAAGTCTCTTATTCCATATAAGAAAGAAATGAATTCATAATTTTCTGTATCTAGTCAATGTTAAAACAATTAAGATAAGTAAAGTTCCATGTGATCTTATGATCAACAGATGGAGGGACGAAGGAAGAGAAACTGGATCATGAATCACTCAGCTTTCCAAGTAAGAACCAGCATACTCACAAAGAGGCTGAGGAGGCCACTTCCGCATGCACTGAAGAGTCTGAGAGGCAAGGTGGGAGAGGCATCATTCTGCTTGCAGACCCTCCATCAGGACAGGTGAACAAAGAAAACATTTCCAAACCTTTTGATGATCTGCTGTTAAAATGATAAGTTGAAATGTCAGCCTGACCCAGTGTCTACTGTCTTGCTTCCCAGCATACCTTAGAATGTTGGCTTTGATTTATGACTTTCTGAGACCTTTTTCATACCTTTCCACACATATTTTACTAGGCAGGAGTTGAAACCCTTACCATTGCTGCCTGGTCTTTCCAAAATTCAATTGTACTTCATCTGGTTTGATTTTATATTTCAGTGGTCATGTCTAGCAAAATTGAAAGTGCCTATAACAGAAGCTCAGCCAGGATAAACTTACTTGAATGCAATGAGGAGACCACTGGTTTTGTTTGCACAGCACATTATTAGGACTTGAACGTTTTAGTATCTGGAGAGTCACCATGTAGGGATTTGAATTGGACATTCTAATTGCTGTGACTTTACAGGTACCTGCCTTGGTTTCCATGCCTATCCTTTCTATATATGAGTAAAGTTACATCACGATGGACTCTGGTCCATAAAGGAGAAGAGAAGTGTTGCTTCTATTTAATCTCCTTATCAGTCTCAAGAAAAAAAGACACAAGAGTCTCACAGGTGTCACTTTGTGTGTGTGTGTGTGTGTGTGTGTGTGTGTGTGTGTGTGTGTGAGAGAGAGAGAGAGAGAGAAATGAATGATGATTCAAAAATGTCATCAGATAAGACATTTTTCTCAATGATATTTGTGCAATAGTAGCTCATGATCTGAGATATCATTGATTTCAAAAGTCAAAAGCATAGCTTAGTTGGAGTGGGCAGGTGGCATTCTCTAATGAAGAGTGTGGTGGCTCCATAGTGGTGTCTAATTTATTCCTTTGTGCCACTTAGAGCTCAACATGCTGGGACCATTAAGGGTATGTCTATTTCGAGCTTTCTCATGCCAGTGACCTATATTAACAATTACATCCAGAGCCTCCTAAGAGTCCAGTAGTGGGTTGAATTGTGTCCCCAAAATGTATATCCAAATCTGGCCCTCCAGTCCCTGCACATGTAATTAATTCACAGCAGACACCCAGGGTTTGGGGTGGGACTTAAAACCCATTGATTGTTGTCTTTTAAAGGAAAGAGAAAAGATTTGAGACATAGACACACATACAGGAAAAGCTCTGTGAAGGAGTAAAGATGGGTGTGTGGGTTTACCAGCAAAGGAAGGCTTAGAACGGCATTCATCACCAGAAGTTAGAGACTTAGGATAAATTTTCTCCTGGAGTCTGAAGAAGGAACCTATCCTTACAATCCCCAGATTTGAGACCTTTGGCTGATGAAACTGTGAGTCAATACATTTCTGTCACTTAAAACCCCTGAGCTTGTGATAATCTGTGTGCACATGCATGCCGATGTTATTGTGTGTGTGTGGTATGTGCACTTATGAGCTTGGAGGCTTGAGGCTTATCCTCCATATCTCTCTTCAATCACTCTCCACCTGTATGTTTTGAGACAAGGTCTATCACCAAATGTGAAGCTCATCAATTTGACTAGCCAGTGAGCTTCAAGGGACTTGCCTATCACAGACATCTACAGCCTTAGATTCTAGAGATTTGAACACTGTTCCCTGTGCTTGCAAGATAGGCACTTTACTGACTTCGCCAAGATAATCTTTAAAGACAGCAACCAGGTAACCCATATTCTAAGTTGACAGACCCCATGAGGAAAGTTTTGCCCTTTCAATGATGTGTTGAAAGTGATGTGTGTGTGTTTATGAGCTAGGGTTTAAAGCAGCATTTTTCAACCTGTGGGTCATGACCCCTTTGGGGGTAGAATGATCCTTTTACAGAGATTACCTAAGACCATCTGCATCTCAGATATTTACATAATGATCCATAACAATAGCAAATTTACAGTTATGAAGTAGCAACAAAAATAATTTTATGGTCGGGATCACCACACCATGAGGAACTGTATAAAGGAATTGCAGCATTGGGAAGGCTGAGAACCACTGGTGAAGGAACATTGAAGAAGGACATAAAAATTGCCATTGTGTGTGCCCTTTTTTACATTTTTTTCAGATGGACACTGCATTATGTCAAAAGCTCAACATTTCATAATTTTGTAACATGTAGTGCCAATGCAGATAAGGTACTCCAGGCACTCAAGATGACAATCCCGAGATCATTTAAGATTTGATTTATAGGTGACAGTTCTATAAAACAGTGTCTCCCTCAACTGTGAGAGCCAAACTGAGGACCAGAGTCCCTACTTACCAGCTTCTTACAAGGCTTTTATACAAAGTGCCAGCAAATGGAGAGGCTAACAAGAACAGAACCCAAGCCTGCATGTTTTTCATCTGCCCACAGTAGAAAGGCATACACATATTAGAGAACTAGAATGTGTCACAGATGTGGCTCTTTTCTGAACTCTCTACCAATGAAATTTATGATCCTCTCCTAATCTATGTGCCTTAAACTCTGTGAAAAAGTTAAGTGTGTTGGAACAGACCGAAATGCCAGCACTTGGGGGGGGGGCAGAGAAAGGAGAATCACAGGTTATATTGTGTATCTGAGGATACCCTGGGCCACATGAGACTCCTGTCTCAAAAACAACAAAGCTAACATGAAAGTTGGTCTAAGGTGATTGATTATATAACTAGGAAGTAAATAACGTTGTTAAGAAATCACAGCTAAAGTCAAGTTGGCAAAGATGCCAACTTGGCATCAGAACTCTTGTAGAGACATAGCCAGGCTTATAGGGTATTGGTTTGTGAGTGAGTCACCTAATTTTTCTGGCCTCAGTGACTTCATCTGGAACTTGAGGATTTGATAGTTTGGTGTATGAGGACTGTCACCTATAAAGAATCTGATAGAGCAGGTTCTGATTAAATAGCAGATGACACTACAGAGAAGATTCTAGGGCCAGGTCTGAGGCCACTGCATATGCTGTTTTCAGGTTCACTGTATTGGGAGTTCCATGGATGCAGAAGGATGCGTATATAAAGGAAGAAGCTTGTGGTTGGGCTGATTCTTTGGTTCTAATGTTTATATTGTCTTGGTCCTGTGGGGATGACAGGGATAAATAGTCAGCACACCTTGAGGTTGTGGAGGGAAAGAGTGTTAGATGTCCAAGTGTCCAGAATGAACACCTTCCCTTTCTTGTGAATCATTTGGCACATTTTTGGTGAAGGCAGGAGGTAGCCTTGCCTTTTTATTTTCCTGTCAAACTTATAACAGACAAGCATTTGATGGCAATGTGGAGTGGAGGAGTCCCAGCTGAAGTGAGGATTGTTTGTTGGATTCCTTCTCTTGCATCTTTGTCTGTGACTGTTGATTCATATGAGGACTGGTGAAATTCACTCTCATCTTACATCACAGAAAGCTATGGTAAGAGATATGGGGTGACTATAAAAAGGTATGGAATTCTTTTCTAAGAGTTTTCCAGGGGTATGGGCTATTGTGTGATACAGAGATTCCTATTTAAAGCTCACCAGAACTAGAGATCTGACTGTTGTTCATGAACATCACTGAGAGAGAGAGAGAAGCAAGGTGAAAGATTCATCACATATCCATAAAGGGTATTCTTAGACACTGTTCTGTACGGTCCCTTTGTACATTTCCGGTCATAGCAGATGTGGAAGGGGAAGAGTTTGCTTTCATACTTTGAGGAAGCAATGTTTGGCATAGTGTGTGTGTGTGTGTGTGTGTGTGTGTGTGTGTGTGTGTGTGTGTGTGTGTGTGTGTCTTAATCTACCTTTCTGAGGCACCTTGTGCCTAAGAACTACTAGGTGAAAAAGAGCTAAGTGCAGAGTTTTTACAAATTTAGAAGCAGTACCATGTGGGTTTTCAAATAAATATTGAATAAGGAGGAAAATAATTTTATTTTACATTCTGGCTTCCAGGAGGAAGTATTTTCTGGGACATTTTTACTATTTAGTGTACACTGGGTACCTGCTATTGACAGGCTGCAGAGAACCAAGGTTTCCTCTGAACTGTAGCTGTAAACACCCTAGACATTTGGTTAATTCAATTAGGAAGCCGTGATTTAAGGGTGGATGCATGTGCACAGGGAGTTATGACATTTTTAGAGGTTTCTCTTGATTTTGAAAGTAAGACAAAGTTTTTAGGATAATGATGGGAACAATGTGCAAACTAGAACTAAACATATTCTGGAGAAATATTCTTTAAAGGAAAACACTGTCTACTGACAACTAGCTTTACTTTTAAAATTCTTTATTTCAATTCTAAATGACCTTACAAAATGTTCTATTTCCTTTTTAAAAAAATAGAAAAATATTTTTCACACTATATATTTTGTTTATGGTTTGCCCTCCCTCAATTCCTCCAAGATCCCCCCCACCTCCTCACCCTTCCAAATCCAAACTTTTATTGCTCGCTTTCAGCAGAGAACAGGTATCTAAAAAAGAAAAGGAAAATATTAGTAAAATAAAAATAATATCAATTAAAATCAAATAAAATCAATTTGGACAAAACAGACAAATGAATAGAAAAAAGTCAAAGAAAAAACATGAGAAACATGTAGAGGTGCACAGATACACATACACACATTCCCACAGACAGAGATTCAAATTCACATACACAAAGTCAGAATCCATACTATATAAGCAAAAGACCTGTAGGGTCAAAAAATCAAAAGCTAGACAAAGGTAAAAAAAATCCAAAAATACCACTGAGGTTATTTTGTGTTGGTCATCTACTGCTGAGGTTGGCCTTGCCTGCCTGTGGTTTGTATACCCAGTGAGACTCCACTGGAGAGATTTTTCTTTGTGAGCCATTATCAATTGGAGGTAGATTCTGGGTTAAGAATTGGGGCTTCTGTTCACTTTCCCTTTCAGCACTGGGATCCTACCTCTCTTAAATCTGTTCAGATCTAATGCATGTTGTCACACTGCCTGTGAGTTCCTATTTGTATCAGTCCTGCTGTGTTTAGAAGGCCTTGTTTTCTTGCTGTCTTTTATCATCCCTGGGTCTTACAATCTTTCCATCTCCTCTTCCCCAGAGTTGCTGAGTCCTGAGGTG